ATGTTTCATGTAAATTCAAATATTTTGCTTTTGCAATATTCTATATTGTCCTGCTTTTCAAAAATTTAAATGCTTAATACAAGTGCAAACACGAGTTAACTCGTGACCGGTCAACAATGTGTTAATGTATCAATGAAATTATTTCAAAGACTATCCGGTTTTTAACTGCTATCGACTGAAATATTCCTGATTATGTAATTTAATTTTGTTGCAATTTTGTGGATTCAACTGTTATGAAAAACAAACATTACAGGTTCAACGGAACTTATTTATGAAAATAAATTAATTATTTTGGTTGCGATACGGTAGGTGTGTAAAATAATTTACAAAGTTAAGATTCACAGCAAGAGCATGTGTGGGCGAGACTTGACATTTTTATTCAAAGTTAAATTATGTCTCATATATAATTTTTTTCTGTTACGGGAGAGTAGTATTTTGGTACACCTGGCTGTCTATGGGTGGACACCTGTAGGAGATAATCACTGATATTTTTTCCGTTCTTTAAGATAATGATAAGTTTCTCACTTTTCGTTTGAACCTAGTTATGTTCTACAGATTTCTAATTAAACGAAAATCTCTACTTTTATCCACAGATATAAATATTATAAAATGTAGAAAATACAAATAATCTTTAAAAAGTTTTGGAATGATCATTAGATTCTCACAATATAATATTAAAACTCTACACGTGAATTGATCTTTCAATATTTGAAATTTACTATTTCAGGAAAATGTTAAAAAAATCGGCTGCAATCGTCGTAAAATTTTAATGCTTTTTAAACCTCGGCGTACATGACCGTTTCGCACGCTGCGCGTCGCACGTCGCGTGTGGAAAATATCTGAATCCCTTCGATGCTTTTGAATTCATTTGATTACAGGAGCATTTGTTGCTGTGCGTGTTACACGCAGAGTACAAACAAATGTGCTTCCCCAGGTTGTGCGCCGCACGTTGCATTTTTGCAGCCAAAATGTTCAACGTGTTACAATTGAGGCAATTACACAAGAATTTTCTGTATTGCGCGCAACAGCATGCGCAAATCACATGCAACCGACTGCGTTGGAAATCAAAATACGGCACAAGATAGAATATACCTCGCTGATTGCCATATTTTCATCGCATAGGATTGTTTATCATGCGCGGATTGCACCACTTTCAAATATTTAATTACACTGTTCAACACGCTTTTTGTTTTGTAATAGCCCCTAGGCGATTCTTATAGAATTCCTTGCCTTAAATACGAATCCGAAAACCAAATTGCTGAGTCACGTATAGTTTTCGAAAAACATGGGTTTTTGTAAAAAAGGTCGAATTTTTGAAAGAAACAAGTGTTACGTAAAAACTAAAAACGATAAGCAGTTAAAATTTATCGTAAAAAATAGAGGAGAGATGCCCGAATATGTAGCTATAAAAATTTTGAATATTTCACATCATTAAATGCTTGTAAATGAGGATCGAAGTTTAAAAAAGGGTAGATGTGTGTACTCTGTATGCACTTCTGTTACATTTATACGAAAAGTGCGTTGGTTAACACGAATTTGCTATGTAGCATTGGATTCTGCAGATATTTTTGAAGAGAAAACCTCTGCAGAAAGTGTGAGAACGGTTTTCTTTTTGGACAAGTTAAGAAGATCTCCGTCAAGAGTGCGTGCACAAAGTTTTAGCGCCACACGGCCGTCGCTGGCCGATCACGGCTAGTCAGGGCCGTGACTACGTGCTGTATAGACCTGGGCCCCGGTTACTTCTTACACGAATATGTAATGTTTAATTGTTTTATAAATTTTCATAATGGAAATAATGAAAGCATTCTATATACTATTTTAAATAAATAATCATTTATTTAGAAGAACGCACTTCTAAGAAATAAGTAACAAGTAATTATAAGTATATATCATTTATACCAAATTATTTTCACTTTATACATGAGGAGGAACTATAATCAGATTTTTTGAATTCTCGTGAATCAGATACTTAAATTCGAAATTGAATATACAATTAATAATAGCGTAATGAGTTGTTAATTGTGGCCATAAGGCTTGGGCTGTAGGAGGATCCTAGCTTTAGAGGGAAATATGTATTTTTACATTGATAGTCATTTATAAAGTAATTTATTGAAAAATTTATATATGACAGTGGATCTTATGTGAAATTTCCTTTTTATGTCAGTGGATTCTACTCGCCAAGGGAAACACATTTCAAAGGAACAATCTGTTGGAAAGAAGCACTTAACGCTAAAAAGGTTGATGACACTTTAGGAATAATCTGATTCTTGATGATATTTTAAAATGAAATGCAAACAATTTAGTCTCTGATAACTTTTTAAAATGAAATGCAAATAGTTTGATCGTTCATAACTTTTTGAAATTTGCTCCTCTGAATCAATTTGTAATACACCGATAACAGAATCAACAAATTGAATATGTCGAAAGAAACAGTTGTTGGTTTTCATATTTTGATGAAGGATTCAATAAGTATTACTATTTTTAAGGATACAAAATGTGTATTGTTACTTTTTTAAATTACCAAACAAGTGTCGATGCTTTTGCAAAACTCTAAAGAAATATTTATATTCTTATAAAACCACCAAATGGGTATTGATATTTTTCTATAACAACATATCTGTCTAGTACTACTCAATTCTATACTATAATTTGATTCATTATCGAAGTTAATAATATGCTGGTATTATTCTAATTACTAAGAATGAGCCTGTACAAAATCATCGTTTGAAGAGATAAACAATTACATGTAATGTGTATTGCATAAAACTAAATCTCATTTAAGGGATTATTAGGAAAATGATTAAAAAATTATGTAACTCTAAAAGTAGTGTTCGTGCACGCTGTCTAGGCAGTAATAGTGGACGTGGCGTAACACTTTCACAAGCCGAATTAACCTTGTGTGAAATAAGTGTGATGAAAAAAGGCTTCTCCTTTTCTCGTTCGAAAGTGGACTGTATTTTGTTTAATATTGAGTGAAAGGAATGTGTATATGTTTACAAAGTTAAAGTGTGTGTGTTGTCCAGTGAGTACAGCGTGATTGTTATGAACTTCTGATGTATGTCTGTCTCTCTGTCTCAATGTCTCTCTATATATATAAAAATACAGAGATAGGGCGGTGTCCTTAGTGACAAATCAGAAGCTAAAACGCTCGGGGTGTTGCTAGTTATAGTTTTTTAACCTACGCCCACATTACTAGTAGTGGAGGTAGGGGGTACGTTGTTCCTTCTGACCTGCAAAGGTACCGGTGGCTGTGCGCTCGGGGTTTAGGTCGTTGAGCTGCCGTTTTTTTTATGATATGTATCTTAACCAAATAAACCGTGCCGGAACAAGTAGTCTTTCAAATTAATACAATTCTTATGTGCATGAAATAAGTCGGACTTCGTGTTCGTCTATTATAATACAGATGAGTAAGTAATACAAACCTATTAATCATGATAAAATATTATCTTTCTTTTCTTGTGTTCTTTTCCTCGTAAGAATCTTAAATGATAAATGAGAAAAGTAGATGGATGTTGGTCTCAAGTAAATATGATATCGAGGGGATCTGTTTTTTGTACACACCAAAAACTACAGTATAATTTACCATGAAAAGGGAAGAGGGACCCTAAGAACGCTTACGATCATTATTATGATATACATACATTGAACTTTAGACTCATATTTTCGATATATTATAACAATAAAATATAATTGATACATCAACCTAATAAAATAAGGAAAACTATATTGGTAAACTGAAATTAAATTGATATTTATAATTTATCGTAATTAAAAGTAACATTTAAATAAGTTGAAATTGAAGATACCGCTAGAAGAAATGTACGAAACGTCTTGTTTATCTCACGAAATATGACATGAAAAAATAAAATTTATACATCTATGAAATTTACATATTTTAATGAATATAATATTATATAAATACGATATGAGATATAGCTTTTATACTATGATTAAAGCGTCTTATTATTTTTTCTAGGATCAATATTAATAAAATCTAAATATATTAACAATAGATTTACTTTTGATAGCAAAACAAAATGCAATAAAAGTTCATTAAAAGATTTCTTTTGTGTTAGTACTCATCTGAATATAACATTTAATAAAAGATACTTAATGTATTTTTAAATATTGTATAAATAAAAGATAATATAGTGGTAATTAGAAATTATAGATAAAAACTTCTTTTGAAAACATTTAGTATATGATCATTATATTTTAGTGGATAATAATGAAATATTCTATTTATAACGGATTACTGTGCTTAATTACAGAAAAGTTAATTTATGAATAAAAGACAGATCGATTTATATCTCACTTTTTTCAGAAGTTATAAACGTAATAAGAAAAGCGTAGGTCATTATAAACTGACAATAAATGCTTTTTCATGAAGTACAGAGAAATAAAATTTAAAAAAAAGTCGAGTATAGATTTAATATTCTCTTTCACGTCGCAGATGCATTTATCGAGATAGTAAGCTTTCACCCAATTCCCGTCTAGATCAATTTGTAAATATGTGAACCGTTACGAGAAGATAATTCATCTCTTGCTTCGTAATTTATTGCCCGACTGCGCTAGCAAAATTGAATTTATTATTAAAAATTCTTCAGTAAGAAAAAAAATTTTATATTTATTGCAGGCCTGTCGTTACTGTAAAAGTTTCATATTCACAATTATATATATATATATATATATATATATATAAATCAATTTAAAATCTCTACAAAAATCCAAAGTTAGACATGATCTTTTTATATTTATCCAACAGAATTACAGAACATTACCTTTTTTGTACTCATCTAATAGTGTTATAAGATAATACCTTATTTTTACATTAATCTAACATAGTTATATTAAAATGCCCTTTCTTATATTAGTCTAACAGAGTTGTACAACAATACGTTTTGTTTAGATTTATGTGACAAACTTGTATAATAATACCCCCTTTTCAATTCATCTAGCAGAATTTTATAATAATACCGTTGTCTTGCACTGTGTTTCAGTTCCTATACTAGACGTATTGTCAGTGAATGGCTCTAAAGCTGAAATTCCTTGCGACATTAATCCCTCAACCAGAAGCGAGGTGGTGAGCATGGTTTTTTGGTACAAAGGCGAAAGGGATGGTGAACCGATATACAGCGTGGACGCTCGCGGCAAATCGATAGCCCAGGCGAGGCTCTGGTCAGATCCAAACGTATTCGGTGAAAGGGCAACTATGAGGACAAACGTGGAACCTGCGAAATTGGAGATCAACCCCTTAGAAACGAACGACGCGGGAGTGTACAGATGCAGGGTAGATTACAAAAATAGTCCAACGAGAAATCAGAAGGTTAACCTTACCGTGATAGGTGAGTACGCTGTCCTTCACGAAGATACTATTATTCAATAATAAAGTGTGTGAGCATCTTTTTCTGAAAATTTTTCAAATTGATTCAAATATATATATGTACGTGCGCGCGCGCGCGCGCGTGTGTATTATATAATATTTTAATATATATATTTTATAATATTTTAATCTATAAATGAAATTGTCTTCAGAATTACTCATTATTTTTAAAAAATGTTTTAAATACAATTTTCTTCGTTGTAAGAAGACAGTAATTTGTCTGTGGGTAATATGTGTAGAAGATATGAAGGTTACTATTACCTTTTCAAATATAATCATGTATTTCTTCACGTTAATACATGCACCAGATTCTTCTTTACAAAGGAGTATTAAGCTATCTCTGTCAAAGTCCAATTGAAACATAAAAATTATAGTTACAACAGTTTTTAAATAACGAATAGTGTCCAAAATAATTCCGTTGATACATCAGAATGGGAGTCCCTGGATAGATCTACTGTTTAATAATAAGTTCTTAGTTACATTTGGATTATTCAATTTTTAATTTATCCATTGAAACTTTCAGAGTCTCACAAAAAAGCGTAGTTGTCTTTTATTGTAATCGATGAAGTTAGAATCATTATCGATTGCAATAACTACATGTTGAATTGCCTCTTCAACTGTCTCTTCAGTTTTCTCAAACACACATGGTTTATAGCTTAATAATATTATGAATAATATTAAAATAATACTGTGATAATTTATCATTCCGATCATTTCATTTTCTTATTGCTTTATATTATGTAAGTGAAACGCATGATAAAGTGACGGTTTTATTATATTTTTATGGAATTCGATTTGAAATATTACAAATTATTTAATACAGAGGAAAAACTTAAAATATTTATTTTCGAATTTTTAACAAAAAATTATCCTTACAATAAGGAGGTGATAAATAACAGCACATATTAAATGTTTTCGTTCAGCAAAATGGTAAAATTAAAAAGCAAGAAATATATTACAAAATTTTACTTTATACGCGTGTAATTGTTATTAAAATAAGTAGAATCTCTAAGAAAAGAATAGTCAAGTATTCAGAATAATCTTGAACGAATTTGCAAAATGAATTCCCCTAAAGATTAAAATTTGCCCAGAAAAAAAATGTTATCACGCACTGCTAATTTTTTGTACGTAAAGGATTGCCACCCTTCCGCTGTTACCATAATTATGACCGCACCCCGAATATCAAAAGCGTTCTGTGAATTCACACAAAATGTATTTGTCAAAGCAGGAAGTTAATGAGATAATTTTTCAGATATGGCAAAGGCCAGCATTTTCTATTTCAAGCGTCTCGTTTATTTAAGGAAAGTTTCCTCGTCGTGGGCATTCTTAACGCATTGCTTTAATATAAATTTGTAAAAAGTTCAAAGAGCCTGGCGGTGTCCGTAACTGGAACTAAGTACGAGTTCGTTATTAAAATGGTTCTAAAGGAAAAAAAATGTATCCTGAAATATATTAAGACTCTTCTATATTGTACTTTTCTTCATCAAGGTTTTTATAAAAGCGACTTTAATTCTTGGTTGCTAGATGATCCATTCGAGTATCGAATACAGATAAAAATTACCTACAATATTCATAATATTCTTCGAACGACGTTACAATAAAAATTAATGATTCTATATGAAAAAAAATAAGAAACTTTGAATTTTTGGAGTAATAATAACTCTAATAATAATTAGTACTATATTATTTACTAAGTAAAATTATTACGCCTTACAAAATCATTGTATTGGTTACTATTTTAGTCGATAGTACTATTTATTTGAGATTTTTGACACTAAACCTACAAAATTGTGTAGTGCATTACAAGGTAAAATTTCTTATGAAATTATAAGTGTAACAAACATTTTCACAGAAATAGTTTATCTCCATATAGCCATTAAACGGAAGGAAGATATAATTTTACAAGTTACCACGTCTACGGATTATACGGTTATTTCCAGTGACAACACTAATATAATTTTTAATTAATTGAAACTAGCGTAGATTCAACAGGTGTTGCGGTGTCGGTGTTCTCGTTCCAAAGTTAAAGAATGATGCATTATCATGTATTATTTAAGCAATGTGCTACTTCGTTTCACGGTATGTCACTTCTACGTGTTTTATAACGCAAGAATGCAGTAAGCATTTAAACCAAAACCATTTGCTTGTGATTTAGAACTGCACCGTGGCCGTCGCTGCATTCATGGTGCTTAATTGTATTCATATTACTAATCCCAGACAACTAGAATGGATTCAACACGCAGTATCTTATTTTCAAACAGAAGTTGCATCTGGAATTAGCAATGGCAATGTAAACGCAATATAGTATATGAAAACTGCATGAGGAAGTTTAGAGTTTTTTAGGTTACGGATGTGCGGGTGTGCCAGCCAGTAACATCAAAAGATGCAATCTAGACCTATTTTCAAATATTTCCAATGTTCAGTTTTGATTAACCGTTTAGGTCCCAAGCGGCGCGATCGCGCTTCTCTGTTACACTGCCTAAAAGTGCAGTCTATCGGTTCGTAGAATCAGGTGAAGTTTATTTATTTTTTTTCCTTATAGTTATTCTTTTTTATTTTTGTTATTATCCGCTTAGAACTGGAAAAATGTAAATGTGTTTTTGTAAAAATAGAACAGGGTAATTCAGTTTCTGAATTGAAACGAAAGACGCGATCGCGCCGCTTGGCATTTTTCGGTTTTTTGCAAAAACCGGTGCGACTGAAACAGTTAAGTTTTTTAAATTCATTTCAATCAATTTCTGATCTTTGAATTAATAGTTTCGCCTTTGATTAGTATCTTCAACCTTTGATGCGATTTATAAACGATAAAAGAATGTCTAAATGTATAAAGTGATTAATTAAATGATCTCAGTCCATCGAATTAACAATATCTCATTGAACACAAATTCCTCATCGTATGTTAAGAATTTTAATTATTTAAGTATATAAAATGTTAATTAAAAAGATTGATATATTTAATGTGTCCCAGATAATTAACATATGCACGATAATTTTAAATTAATTATATAAAAATTTTGCTGATGAATTGAGTTTGCGGTCGAAAATGAAAATGTTTATAGCTTGTCAGTTAGAATTTCTAAATTCTAAGTTCTCAAATGTTTTGAATGTATAAAAATTTGGCGAGTCAGCCTGCTCCACGATGAAACAATTTTTCTTATTTATTGAGCTATAAATAGTGTTTAATAATTGTACCAGTGAAATAAGTGTGTGGAATATTGATAATAACGTTGCAATTTATCGTTCACAGTCGATTGAATTCACTACTCTGAAACCTTAATGCTTTTCATAGCAATATTCGAAATTATTTGTTTCCCCGGTGTTCCATCTACTCTTCTGAACAGTCTGTACTGTATTTGTATCCCATGCCAAAGTGTAGCAGATTGATCTTTCTTATTATTAGTGTACATACAAACGGCATACGCATTTCAAAGGAATAAGGGGGACGCTGCGGAAACTATAAATTTCAGGTTGACTTCAATAGTATCAATATAGGTATTCAATACTGCGGTAGTGGTTACATATACATACTAACGCTCCTGAGTATTCCAACAGTTGGTAGACTTGTGGCATTAGTGAATAAGTATCGGTAACAAGCGTGTAAAGTGTCTAAAAACATTCCTTGTTAGCTCTTTTTTCATATAAATGAATCTTTTTAACGTATACTGAAATTAATCAAATAAATTGTAACATACATAAGTTAGGTTGCAAGACGTCTTTTAATTCTAAGAATATATAGAGAATACTTATTGTAAATAAGTCCTTTATTGATATATCCTTGAATTTAATATTTCATTAATAAATAAAAAGTAATATTCAGTGTAATCGAAATTTGTTACAGCTCAGTATTTTATTGTGACAGTAAAAAATCTCCTTGCCTTTTTTATGTGACATTTGTATTATAATATAAAGAAATAACATATAGTACAATATACTCTTTTATGTAATGTTTCTGTTTTGAACAAATTAGAACTAAAAATTTATGAATTACACGTGCACTTGGTTGATACGACCGAGTATGGATGGTATAATCGACAGAATGTTATTCTAGACACAAAAATAAGTATTAAAAAAATCATCATTAAATGCTTTTCATTCACCTTTGATGTTCTCGAAAATCATGATTCAGATAGCATTCAAATATTTATTATGTGCTAAAATTAAAGTCTTACTAAAATCTTTTAATTAAGTAAAATTAATATTTACTGATAAACTGTGCACCGCATCGAAAATAAGTTGGACAGGACTAATTTTACCGATTATATTAAATGACAGTAAATGAATGGGTGTCTAGAAGATGGGCCTATGTTACAAATTACTGATGTAACATAGGGTCCTTTTCCAAATTGAAAAATGAAAATAACAATTCAATAACCAAAAAGTTACTTTATCAAATACAAAATTGAGTCAGATTTTTTTTTGATAATACACAAAATATAGTCATTTAGAGTCATATAGACATAGTAACATAAGCCACTTTTTATATATATAATCATCAATCGATTACCGATTTTTATGCATTTATGGGAAATTTTGGACTGCAAAATTGCATAAAACGTACACGACACATAAAAGCATGAAGTATTCAAAGTTAGTGCTTTTTATAGTATTCTTCACAGAAACATTTTTTTCATCGTAGTTCTATTTTTGTAATTACATGTGTTTTTAACAACTTGACTTCGCAGAAGATGCGTCATCTAGTTATCAACGTTCACTATTATCTTGTACTTCGTTTCTGATATCTAGAGTAATAATTTCTTTACGTCATATTCTGACCTTTTTTCACAGAAGGAAAAGCTTTTAAAAAATGTATAACAAAGTCGTTGCTTCTATCTAGACACACATTCAAATATGTATTCGTCTGTGGTAAAGAAATGTTCCAAAACGTTGGTTAAAATCGTTATACAATGTGACTCACGTAAGTTTATTTTTACGATAGTGCCACCAAGTAGGCCGGCGATTTACACCGGCTTTGGTAAAAAATTGGCCGGGACACTTACTTTGAACGAGGGTAGCGTGTTGTCCTTATGGTGTGAAGTACTCGGGGGTTCGCCGCCGCCGAACGTCACGTGGTATTTTAAGGGGAAAATTCTGGACGATACGTACACACTGGAAGATGGGCATATCACGATAAATCGACTTAATACCTCGAATGTCACCAGAGATTTTCTCAGGGCTAGGCTAATTTGCCAGGCGAATAACACGCATCTAATCTCTCCTGTCAGGACCGAGATCGTTTTAGATCTTAATTGTAAGTAAAAAGTTGGTTTAATTTATTAAATAAATAGATACTTAATATTTGTTAAGTATAGTAACAATTTAGAAGATTACAAGCATTAATAATAAGAATTCTTCGAATTAAGTATAAAATTTGTTCTTTAGGTTTGAAAAATTTATGTTTACAAAATTACCATTTACTAGTTTAAATAATTGATCTAGAGATACATTATGTTGGAGATACTCTTATAATAGTGTCACAATGCAATATCTATGTAATTCTATTTAGAATAAAGCATTAAAGGTCTTAAGATTTCAGAAAATATAATGTTAAAAATATCTGTCTTATTATGTTATTTATTTGTTTATAGACACTAATTTTGCTTTCAAAATAATTAATCATATTACTAAAGCCAACAGTGGCAACGATCTATTTTAGATTGTAATCTGAAGTAATTCAGTATAATAAAATAAATAATTAATATTGTCATTTCGGAGGTCTAAAAAATTGTTAATTGCCTCTACTAAGATTCTTTGTAAATCTAAAATTTTTGAAGAATCAATGATTATACACGATAATCAATGTTTTTACACGATTTCAATTTAATATGACTTATGCTTCTCTTTTTATACGATTAATTTGACTTAACGCGAATCAGAAAAGGCGAGCGTGCTAAAATTATAGAAACTACTTCAGATTTCAGTTTAAAGTAATTCGTGTGTTACGTTTAACACAATTTGGAAATACATTAATATTCATGTAGACGTATCCCTGGGATTTCAGTGAAACCGTTGGTAGTGAATATTACGAACAAGAAAACTCATTTGTCGGCGCTAAGAACGTACGAAATTGAATGTGCCAGCGCAGGTTCTAGGCCGCAAGTCGTGATTACTTGGTGGAAGGGAAACCATCAGATTAAGCATATGGCCAAAAATGTGAGTATTACACTTTTGAATCTGTACTTATCGCAGAAGATCGTTGGGCTGCGTTACGGAAGTATCGGCAAGCTTAGATTCTGAGTTCTTCATAGTATGCAGATCCGAACATTACGAGAAGCGTGTTAAGCTACGTACCAACGATGGAAGACAACGGGAAGTATCTGACATGTCGGGCCGAGAATTCAGTTGTACCTGATAGCGCGTTAGAAGATAAATGGCGCCTGCTAGTCTACTGTGAGTATTATCAAATATGAATTCAATGTTAATCCAGTACTAATTTAGTAATAATTTGAAGCAATTTTTTCAGTTGAAAACAATTGTAATACTCTAAATGATATGAGTTAAGCATTAAAATATTTTTTCTTTAAAGCATTAATCTATTGTATTTTTTCATATAAGACTATATTAAGGTACAGGTTTTCAAATTTATTTATTATTTCATTATTTATGTATTTATTCTTGTTAACTTTGTTCATTTTCTTATATACTTTAGATTTAATATATCAATTACTTTAAATTCGTTTCTCCATTAGAAAAGGAAAATTTTTATTTAAAACTTTCTTATTTTTTTTATTACTATCTAGAGCTATATAATCACGTCTATTTCTAATCTATTATACTTTCATTGTTGATAGAAAGTCTATTGAACATTAACTTGAGGTCTAGATGTGTAAGAAGGTTTCGTTGGGCACATTTGGTATTTGTTTTTCTGATTGAAACAAATGAAATGATTAAAATAGTATCTAGATACTGAACATACAGTTTATCGATTAAAGGAAACATACACGAAAAAGAGACATAAAATGATAAAGAATGTATAACGTAACACTTTAATAATGTTTTATTTATGCTAGTTTACCGAAACTCTGCTGTATGTTTATTCAATGCAAATGTACTGAAATTATTATTTGTAGATACACCAATAGTGACAATTAAGTTAGGCTCGAGTTTAAAGGCGAACGATATAAACGAAGGCGATGATGTCTATTTCGAATGCGACGTTCAAGCGAATCCGAATGCATACAAGCTGGCATGGTTCAAAGACGATAAAGAATTGCATCAGAATACGACAGCTGGAATTATTCTGCCGAGCGGACAATCTTTGGTTCTGCAACGCGTGACTAGAAATTCCGCCGGTGAATATTCCTGCACGGCGACCAATACTGAAGGAAAATCCACCAGTAAACCGGTCACACTCGAGATAATGTGTGAGTATTAAGTAGTTTAAGATTTGTTTTCATTCCAAGAAAGTGTGAATGTGAAACGTGTCGGTTACGTTTAAATTCAAACAAACAATACTGACTAAATATTCGATGAATATAATTAACCCTAACAATACGTATAATCAAATTTATATGTTTCAGAATATATTAAATTTTTAAAGTTACTTAATCGGGTTTTTCATTGTTGTTAAGAAAATTAAAAATATCAGATAAATGAAAATTATATTAATAATGTTACGTATTTTTCTCTATAAAAATATCCGTGATTAGTACAAATAAAATTGATTTTAATTTATTTAGATTGAAGGAAACAAGAATTACTTATTTACAAAACTCAAACAATGAATTTTCGATGTTCAGACGCTGATATTCATGAAACGACGCATTACATTATTCAGTTGGTTACAACTTTATGTCGTACATTAACGAGTGATGCTCGCAAGGAAGATCTCAAATTGAAATGAACAAAAATAAATAAATCTCAATTCCCTCAGGTTCAATTATCATGTTTTAAAGTAAACATGGATATACAGGAATACGGAGTTCTCTCGTATTTTTATTAAATGATTAACCCTTTGCACTCGAAGCTTTTTCTCACTGATATTATCAGCAACTTGAAGTACTTTTAATAGGAAGAGCATATAAACGTACAAAAAATGACACGTGCACGAAAAAAAAGTCATAGATGTATTTTACTGTTTCTTTCATCGATTATAGATATGAATGTTATAATACATTTAATGGCAAAGTTTTACAGTTCGTAATGACAAATTTTAAATGGCTTTGCTCCGGAACCCTCGAGTTGGAAATAATTTTAAAAACTATCCCACTTTAAAAGATTGTAAAAATTAAATCTTATTATAATGACAATAAATAAAATAAATATAAAACGTTGAATTCTACCGCTGTAAATTAATTTAATTCATTTCCTTAAAAATAAATACAACTTTACACCCAACAACATTGAAAATAAATCGAGTGTAAAGGGTTAATTTATATTTAAAAATAATAAATGACATTTAGATATCTCAAATTCGGTTGAAAGTTTTCGTCACGAGTCTGACACGATATTCTAGGCCAAGGGGTTAATTCGACGGGTCCCGATTAGAGAGTCAACGCGTTAAATCGTACGGCAAGCGGTGAATTTCTACTGGCGAAGGTCGCATAAGTTAACATTCCGTGTCGTTCCCTATCTAATTTTCAGACGCGCCGATCTGCAAGGACGGCTCTTCCACTCAAGTGGTCGGCGCCCTGAAGCACGAGACGATTTCGCTGGTCTGTGGGGTGAAATCGAAACCGCCGCCCACGACTTTCCACTGGACCTTCAACAATTCCGGGGAGCTGATGAACGTTCCGGCCAATAGATTCACGCAGGTCAAACCTCTGAGTCTAATCACGAGCCACTGGCACGGGTCCAGGCTGAATTACACGCCCGAGAACGACATGGATTACGGGACGGTCGCCTGCTGGGCCCAGAACCGCATAGGGGAGCAAAAGACACCCTGTCTTTTTCAGATCATCGTCGCCGGGAAGCCGTATCCCCTACAGAACTGCACGGCTCTTCAGTCGACCGGACCCTACGCATATCGAATGGGTAAGCGACACTCGACTCGGCACAGGTCGAAACCCTCGTTCTGACCTAAATAGCGCTAACTACTACACCATTACGGCCGGCCCATCATCGAGGATGACGGTTCACGCTCAATAGCCGCCTTGTTGTGATCAACAGCTTGTTTCCTATTGTGAACGGTGGAAACCGATGGTGACCAATCACGCGTGAAAAAGGTCGTGAAATTAGGCGCGTTTCGGGGTCCCGACGCGGGACAATTTACCGGGTCGAAGGTGGCTTTCGTTGCGGATAACTTACACCGGGGAATCCCTGTGTTTCAGATATTTGATAGGTACATTTAGGGGTTAGTTGTTCGCAGTGACGCGTTACGGGTTAGATTACTGTTTATACGAGGGTGGGATGAATTTTCCTGTCTTCGTTTAAATAAAAAATGAACTGGAAGATGTAGCTTTAACATCTTGCAGACCGGTCACGAGAATGCTCGTGTTTATCGGTCCGAGATGTTAAATCGTTTAAATTGTTTTAGTATATTGTATGTGAATACAGAGTAAAAGGATAGCAGAATGAGGTCTTTGTTATTTATTTTTAGAAAGATTTTTCTAATGAAATGTTGGTGACACTTTTTACAACATAAAGAGGAATCATGAATTGAAGGGCTAACATCAATGTTTGATTTCAATATTTTATGTATCAAAAAATTATACTATTAATATTGTTAATATTATTTATTGATATTAATAATTATAAGCTATCATTAATTATTACGATACTAATATTGTTCTAAGTTTGCTGCCAAAAACCAAGTAACGATTAAAAATCGTCTCTCGAGTGTAAAAAGTTTAGCTTAATAGTACAGTGTCGTTCGATTTTCTCTGCTATAATATATAAACGTATCTCTTATTTTTTGTACACGATAGGTCACGAAGATTTTAAAGCTACAGACGCGCGAGACGCTGATTGGTTGATCGTCAGATGCTTTGAGGGGTTTGACGGCGGTTTGCCGTTGACTAATTACGAGCTGGAAGTCTACAGTGAAGAGAACGTATATCATGTCAATACTATCTACTTGAATCACACAGAGAAATCTAGTTCATTAGGTCCGGTTTTCGAAGTTCCTGGTTTGGAACCTGGTCGCAACTATCGACTTCATCTGTACGCTGTCAACGCTAAGGGGCGCAGCGAACCTGTCGTCCTTGAACCGGTTACGCTTAAAGGAGTCGCGATGTATACTACTGATGGTGAGTGCCTCTATTAAATACATTTTTGTCGATTAGAGCAATTTTTGGAAGACGCAAAAATTATATCCTAGTGCGAATCTTCTTTGCTGTACGTATACTACAACTTTTGTATTCTACTTTTAAGCTTAATGCATACGCAATAAAATGAATTGTTATTATATTACGTAGGTGAAACTGTACAAAGTGTTCGCCTTTTATCAAACTACTACCACTTTACTTTGATATTACAAGACGATTTTTTAAGAATATAAATCTTAGTTTAAATACCAATTAAACATGTTATAGTACAAAAAGCCAGTTATAGAATTAAAAAAACTCATAAAAGAAGGAAGCTCATAGAAAAAATAAAAGATTTTTCAATGCCATATTATAATTAACTCTTTGAACTCGAGTGCTCCGAAGCAGAGCCATTTGAAATTTGTCGTTACAAACTCTACAATTTTGTCATTAAATATATTACAACATTTATATCTGTAATCGATAAAAAACAGTAAAATGCATCACGCGCGTATCATTGATTTATATGTTAATATGCTGTTTCTATAAAAATTGTTTCGAGTTGCTGTTAATATCAGCGAGAAGAAACTTCGCGTGCAAAGGGTTAAAACAATCGATCAGGACACAGATTCGTCACTGAAATACAAATTTCAAAGCATCAATAAAATACAGTATGCTTCGTCTCTCTCGTCAAGGTTATGAATAATCAACCCAAATCCACTTGTTTCATAATTAATGTACTTTCGCAAGATCAATTCGATTTCAGTCTACATTTATTAACGGTAACGAAAGGCACGGGACCGGCGCCCGTTAATTCCTAAACAAGAGAGTGTATGTTAATTACACGGTGTTATGTCATCAGTTGAACGACGCGACGCGTACCGCAAATCGTATTTTCCCCAGATGCGTTCAAAGGCACAATTATGCGCATTCAGACTAACTTCAGGATCTCTCTTAGCGTGTAGCCCTTCTTTTATACGTAACGTTTCTTCGTATCCTTCTTCCGCGGGCCTTGAATTAAAATCCCATAAAAACCCGTAGTCCCTTTCTTCGCTGCTGTCTCATTCGGAGCGCATTTATCGCCTTTAATTTCCATCCTCATGGTTTATTCATGCCGATCCGTGGACGATTCCGCTGTGTGTGGAAACGCTTGCGTACGAACATCTACGCGGTTACGTGTATGCATCTGTGTGTAAGTAGCTGAGTGTGTCTGTACGTGTCCAAGCACGTGCGCGACGCGAGCTCATCTTGGATCTCAGTTGCACGCGCCTTTTCTCTGCTGCTAACGTCGACTCGTCGCTCGAAGTACCTACAATTCCATTCAAACTTCTAGAAATCCTTTGATAATTGTCTTAGGGTACGTTTCTACCGGAGCTGCGATGGAAGCTAAGAGAATGACAATTTGCGATTGACGTATCATCGATCAATTAATATTTAAAACAGCGGTTTCTGATTTTCATGTTTCTACGATCCCTTTAAACAGTGAACTGTGTATGATGAGTATACACGTTATCTTAAAACTCTAAATGGTGCTAGTTTTTTTTTAACGATGGACTATCTATTTTTTTAGACAAACATGTAACTCTTTTTCGTTTCGCTTTAGTTTTTTGTTACAATATATTTTAAGTGCATTCGACCTGCATTTGACGAGTATACACTTCATTATTTGATTTTATTGTGTGCACATTAAAATATTTTTGAAACTAAATCCCGTAATTTACGGGGAAAAAGAATCTAATCTTGGCGCCTGCCCGTTTTTCCTTATTCCATAAAGTAATATTACATTTAAATAGAAATTACAGTTCTGTTAAATTTTTCGAGCCCTTTTTTACATTAGTAGACGCCTCTCAATTTGCAAATCGCTGTCTTAGGGTAATTCCGGGTGAAATGATCTGATCTCATTTAAATTGTTATATGTTTGTATTTCCTATTGTTTTCAGTGGTATGCTGAATTTTGCACGGTTTCTATTTAATTATTCTTCTTATATGCATTTGATTTCATTAATATATTTCCTATTGTTAGATATCAATGATATTTTAATGTAATAGTTTTTTTTAAGCAGTGGGCCACTTTTCCCAGAGTTAAGAATAACTTATAGAAATAAAGGTTACCCCAACTATTGCATTTCTTTAAACTTCTATGTCACAGTATTTTTGCATATATTTGTTTATTTTCAACACACATAACAACGTATTAAGATTCAAGAAATGGAAACCGAAATAATTTAGACAAGTTTTCAAGAGAACGTGACACATTATAACGAAGCTGATTTAAGAGTGGGTACTTGAGTATCTGGTTTTTCACATAGATTTGAACGTAGCTCTATGATTCGAGTCAGTGTTGGAAAAATGAGCTCTGAGCCTATAATCTTGAAAACTACAGTCTCTCAAGTCTAGAGTTTTAAAAGTTTAAGTCTTTAACGCGCGAGTCTTTAAGCTCGAAGACTCGAGCCATCTGTTGCTATAAGAACAGCAAAATCGAAGCTTAGGAAATTTGAAATGCCTCGCAGATTGAATTGTATGTTTGAAATGTTCAACGCCATGTTATTATAGCAACAGACGGCTCGAATCTTCGACTGTTTCCAAGCATAAGGACTTGGGCGTTGAAGGCTCTCAAGCCTCAGTTCGAGCTTTCAAAGCTTTAAGGCTGACTCTTGAAGCTTTGAAGACTCAGTATTTCAAGTTGAGCCTTAGAGCTTCGAATGCTCGAGCTTCATGGAACTTCAAGTCTTAAAGACTTAGTCTTTAAGGTTAAACCTAAAAGCTTCGAAGACTCTAGCGTTTTACAATATTAATTCGAGCTGCGTAGGTTTGAACGTAGGCCCATGCATCGCTTCAATGTAAACGATTTTGTCTATAAAATACAACATATATATATATATATGTTGTATTTTATACATTTACTATTTTTTTATTATTTTATTATATATATTTAATGTTTCGTTCTCATTTCCGGTTTTATCGAATATCGCAGCTCTGCTATAAACGTACCTTTAACGCGTGAGTATACATGGTGCGTCCGAATGACATATCAAACGGGTTGAAGGTGAATCTTTATGAAACACAACATGAAACGAAATGGTTTTGGCTGATGTTTATTTTGAGAAACTCGAATTTTAAAATTCACTAATTTGTTTGTGGTGTTTATTGTTTAAGGGAAATTTTCTGGTATAAATGTTGGTCTTAAAAGTAAGTTCGTACACAAAAATTTGAAATTCGTTAAATTAGTGATTTATATTAGTCTAGTAACGAATGCAAATGTACAATAAAATTTTTTAATAAAATGCTCGGCTTACAAAAAGGTCTAGTTTGAAAGTCGCATGAATTCACGACTAATGTAAGTAGAATTGGCGAATAATGGTCAGACGCGCGAACACAATTCTTTAAATTGCCATGTGTCCAGAAAATATACTTCAGTTTCTTTCGACATAAGAGCCCACGTGAAAAATTGCATTCAATTGGAACATATTGTAATTTGAACAATTTTTAAATGTTGAAATACCTTATATTATATCATAAAATAATGTTTGCTGGTCAATATAAGAATACTATTCACTAAAAAAGTCCTGTAAGCTTTTACTAATATATTCCCTCTATGTAAATGCTCTTTAACTTATAACTTATAATAATTCATAACTTAAATATTATATAATTAAATAATTTTATACACACTATCGAAAACAATCAGCCCTACTAATTGCGATTATTAAACTGCGGATATTTATAAAAACTCCAATTTTTAAGAATATAATCATAAGAATGGAACTAAGATAAAAACTGGTTTTTCCTAAATAATATTCTAAAAAACATTAAACTTTACAAATATTATATACTTCCTTGTATCGTGTGCATTTTGTACAATTTTGCATTTTCAATTTCCCGTAAATGCATAAAGAACCGCAGTCTAGTTATTATGATGACCATCAAATGGACAGGTTAAAGATTATATTACATAAGAGTAGGTAAAAACTGTTTAGGCTTAATGTGGGGCATTTGGCGAAGGAGGTATTGCGTAGCTTTTCTTGCGAATAATTACGAATATCGAATGAGCACCTTATTCAATGGGTCGGGCTTAGGTGGCTGGCAACAGAGCTTCCGCCGCAGACCTCTCTGTTTCATCGTCTGGTTCTACAGACTCCTCCTTTCCGTAGTTTCTAATGATCGGTAGACCTGTAATTACTTAATCCGCTCACGGTTGACGCACCTGACGATCAAAAGATACCAGTGACTGGGTCTACATAGACCCGCAATTATCTCCTTTCGCTTTTATCATAATCATCAGTTATCATTCTTTCTGTTCAGTAATTGATAATGTAACCCCTTGTCTTGTAACATCGAGTGGGACTCGTAGTGACGTCTTGAAAGCTGAACAAATATAAGTATTATTCGTTTTCTTCAAATCGAAATGAAGTATTATCTTCCTCGAGAAAAAGTTTTATCTGTATGGTAAAAACAGACTTACGATGAATATAGGATCATTTTTGTCTAGTTAATTATTAAGGATAATAAAACTTTAAAGAGAGATAAGAGATTCGTACGTTGTTAGTTGCAATTTTTTATTAAATACAATAAATTGATTTTATAAAATACAAATAAAGTTCAAGAAAAAATCTCGTTAATTTCGTACACGTTTCTCTATGCATTCAAATTTTATATGGAAACACATACGAAAGCAATTTAATTTTTTTTACGTAAGATATAAAATTTTGAGCATCACAAATATCTAACGTTGGTCGAAAAGATTGGAGGATCATTTTTCAATAATTTGAAAATAATAATATATTGGGTTGGTGCAAAAGTTTTGACGTTTGTTTTTTATAAAATATAAAATGAAGAGTTTTCAACCGTTCGCTGGTTAAACTAGAACTATGTAAAAACGAAGAAAGTAGTGTCGCTTGTACACGTTATAATATTTTGAAAATAGATGTCATTTGTTTTGAAGAAAAAAATTTGTTGTTACATATGTATCAAAATCGTCAAAATTGTTATATTAACTCAGTATA